TTAGAGAGTTAAGAGTTAAGAGTTAGGTGACCTAGTTGCAAAGTAGCAGGCAAAGTACGATGTTTGATGTCTGCCTAGATCCAAGGCTGTGCCTATGGGAGAAGCATAGGGTGCTAATGCTGTGAACCCCTCCTTCATAGGCTCAGGTTGTATATCTGTGTATATAAACCATACATCATGAGACACTATGGTCTCTGCTGTACCTCATTTCCCAAAGGAAACCTGAACCTTGGGTAAATGTGCCTGAAATCCCTGGAATCTTGCACCATTTGGAGATGGGGGTGGTTTAAGTTTAAGTTTGGTTTAAGTAGACAATCATTCAGCTGCTAAGGGATAATTGCAATGAGTGCATTTTAAAATCTCAGTAAACAGCTATATACTGAGTACTGCACACTAATGACACCATAAATCCCATATCTGTGACGCTTGATCTAGACCTCAGCTAAAAAACTTGGATGCAGAAGCCAGAAAAGCTTTCGCAGCAGCTGTTCTGCAGATAGTAAGTACAACAGTAGCCTGAAGCTTTACTGTGGAGGAATGGGATTATAAACATTATTTTAAAGGGAAATCTTATTTTTAAAAGACACAACCATGAAGTTGATATCACAACCACAAAGAAGGGCTAGGAGTGAAGGCATTTCCAAATAAGAATGTAAGAAGGCATGCATTGCCATTCTGCCCCACGTGCACCAAATGCAGTGCTGTTTCTCTTCTGCTGCAATTTGGCTTCTGAAAACCACCCAGCAACATTACCTGTCTCACTGTCCACTGTGGCAGAATTTAATGTAATTAATGATGTCGTTGATGACTATAATTTCATCATTCCACACCATTCATTTCTATGCACCATTCACAATGCAAAGGAGGGGGGGGTGGAGTTATCAGTTATGCAGATTGAAAACAGCAATTACTACCGATTGTATTGGTTGGCTTGATTTCCATTCCGGACATGGGATGAATAACTGAACATTGGCAAGTCCTCCGCCTGCTTCCATTTTTGTCAGAATTCCCTGACATCCCTACTTCCAGATGAACTGTTTATGGAGCTATTGTCCCAATTTATTTGCAGAGAAACTAGATGATGCTGGCTATTTAAGGAGAACTCATTCTGATTTGTTTGCAGAGATTTAGAGGATGCGGCCTCAAAGTAAATGTTATTCCACACTTTCCGGTGAGTTTCTCCATCATTTTCCTTATTGAAAAAAGTTAGATCTTTGGGAGAAGTGGAGTTGTTCAACAAGATCTCTGAATCCACTAAAATTGATGGTATATGCCAGTCTGGAAATGCCAGTCTGGAAGCCCACCTTGTGAATGGTCTGGGAGTTCCTTGTAGCACCGTCCAAGCCAGGGGGAGGCAGACTTCTGGCTTGTAGAGTCTGCTTTGTTTTTTGACAAAATACTGAAGCCCACTAACTAGAGCCAAGTATAAAATAACAACAGGATAGTAGTTGGGATGACATAGTATTAAGCTTCAAAGCACATGCTCAGTCAAGGAACTTGTTTTCAGGGTCAGAACTAAGCGCACAGCCTTGATCACTCCAAAATTGCCTCCTGGTATCACCCCAAGTTTACTTTAGCAGTTATCTCAGCACTCTAATTTAGAAAAGAGGGGGAGGTTGCTGCTATCTTTAAACATCTGGGGCCCAGTAACTACTGCACAACATCCAGAGATTCTGATCTACTTTCTGCTTACCCCCAACCCAAGCTAACCAAGTTTGAACCCAACAACCCATATGGGTGAGCAGTGCCAGTGGTTGGTACAATGGGGCAACAGTTGTGGGTCAATGTTCTTAAGAGAGCTGCCCATGAACATAAGTGCAGATATCCATGCTTTCTGTGTAGCTGTGGCTGTGCCCCAAATGTCATGTCTTCTCTCTCTCACACACCCACACAGACACAGACACACCGCTGTCACGCAAAAGGTAGCAGCAAAGAGAGGAGTTCCTGCTCTTTCTAACTCAGTCTTTATTAAGTGTGAAGTACTTTGTTTTTGAATCCCCCCTTCCCAGTTCATTATCCTGCCAAGGCAAATGTGGCTTGTTATCACCATATTGCAGGTTGGAAGTGGCTGTGCCTGGGAGATAATGGCTTCATGCTGAATACAACTAGTTGAGGGTCAGGCTGAGAGAGTGCTTTACAAGCCCCCTGTTGTGTTTTCCAGTACTGTTATTCCCTATTTCATGTCAGGGGTGGGTGTGCTATGAGAGTATGTATGCTACAACCTTGGAGTATCATTTGCTGTTATACCTTTAATACAGCTCCCTGTGGGGAAGGCTACGCTTTGAGAGAGTAGCTTAAGGCAGTTCTGCAGCCCCTTTGAACACCACAAGTCAAAGGTGGAGCTCATGCTGTCTTGAACTCCCAGCCTCCATACTAAGCACCCCTCAGGATGCAGCAAAAGTCAACTTACTTAAATTGTGCCTTCAAAGCTGCCAAGTCAAATCTAGCACTCAGTTGCACACAGAAGCCTCATGCTGCAATGAGTTTCCCGGAGATTGGTTGTTCGTTTTTTAATTTTTGGTACTAGGGTGGCTGCTTAAACACAAATCCTAATCACACTGCAGTAGTGGAATGGGGAAGTTTAACCCTTTCCCCCAAAGAAAACACCCAGCCGTTACTCTCATTGGTATGAATGAAGCTTCATTTTCAATGGACGCAGCAGTTGGGGGTGAGATTTCTGTTGTAACTACAGAAGATGGGGGAGAGGTTTAAACTCTCTCTCTCCCTATCCCAATGTGGTCCAAATATTGCGCAGGCTCCCCTGTGGCTGCTATTTTCATTGTTTTAAAAATGTACAGGTTGATTGTATTCATTCAATTAACATCATGTCTTGTGTGTTCCTGGGGTCTATGTGCTCCTGGCTCACAGTGAGGGATAGAATAGTCCCATGAGGGATTAAAACATCAATGAATGCCTCAGTTACGGTAGTCCAGCCTTAGGGTAGATCGACGGGAGATCAGAACTGAGGAGAGATTGATTGATTGACTGATTTCTATTCTGCTTAATATATTAAAAACACCTCTAAGCAGTCTACAGAAAACTGAAGGAACAGACAACAAACTATTACAAAAATACAGTTACATTAATTTCTAATATATAAAAATCAGCATCAATTCATTTTCTTTCTGACACACTCTCCCTCACAGTCCCTGAGTTCTTACCCAGAGTCCAACAACGGTTGGCTCCTAGACACATCAAAGAAGCGTTTCGGTTTAAAGCATTGTAAATTTAAACAGGGAAAACAGGTAGAGAAAAATGGGACTCCACATTGCCTTCTGGTGGCACAATGTTATATCGCGCATACAACATGTACAAATTGCTTTTTCTTTACCAGTCTAGCTGAGTCCAACCTCACCCACTCACAATGAGAAGAGATCCTGGAAACAATGAACATCACCCTAGTCTCTCACTCTAGAGCTGCTTTTTATGGGCAGGCTCGAAGTAGATAGTACTGCCCGTAGCTGTGTCCCATTCAGCTGCCTTCTCCACACCCAGTTCCAGGTACAGCAGGTTTGTTGAGGTTCCCAGGGGGTCCAGAGAATGGGAAAAGCTCACCCTAATCTGCTCACAGCTCTCTCTTCACCTTCTGTGCTCTCTTCCTCCTCCAGAGAGAGCTCTGATGGATGCTAATTTCTGTCCCTTTCAGTCTAAAGGTGTCAGTGCTCAAGTTGCCGCCATGCTTGATATATGGCCCTGGAAGGGTTGCTTCTGAGTCTGACAGGCATACCGTTTCTTCTTTGGTGAAGGAAAACTGTAATGGGATATACATGAAAAAAGTGTTATGTGGGAATTAACATAAATAAATGTAAGCTGAGCAGGACTGATACATGATTAGTGGTGGACATGAATTCTTCATTCTGAACAGGATTTGTTTATTTCCTCACAAATATTCTGCTGCAGGGCAAATAGGTCATCCTGGAATAAGCCCTATGATTGAGAACTTGGGCCTTACTAAAGTATAATACATATGATCTCAACAAGGGTACAACGCATATGATGTCATCATAGAAAAGAGATATAGTTTGGCCTTCAGTGAAATAATGAATGAATGAATGATGAAATAAATCAAGGGAGCCAGGCCACCTACCTCTCCCTTCCCACCCATTGTTTCGACCATCTTCCCTGCCAAGTTGGAAGAAAAGAATTGGATTAACCGTTCTTTATGGCAGCTGGGTCTGTTCAACAAGCTTTGTGATTTATTTTGTATAAACATTTGGAGGGTAATAGATCTTGTGAAATATTGTTCTGCACAGGAAAGCACCTTGTTTTGTTTCATTTAATTGAATATCAATAAATAGCTACTTTTTTTTTAACAGAACATCTTTCACCTGTCGCCCGCCAAGCCTTCATTAAATAACAGCTTTATTTATTTTTCCTCATTGACAGGATAAATAATTACTTCTCTTGTTGAAATCTTAAATCAGGGATTACAAGATGTATGTGCCATAATGCAATTATTTCTTCACCCTTTGGAAAGACTTACACCCCAGCCCTTAAATTACACCCCAATGATTTCAGTCCTGGAACTGTTTTCCTTTAAGTAAATATGCTTCAGGTGGCAGCTTTAAGAATGCTTGGGCAGTAATATTATATGTAAGTAAACTAAGGGAAGAGCTATCAATGTGAGTACAGTGGTGCCCCGCAAGACGAACGCCTCGCAAGACGGAAAACCCGCTAGACGAAAGGGTTTTCCGTTTTGGAGGCGCTTCATAAGCAATTGCCCTCTGGGCTTGCTTCGCAAGACGAAAGCCCATAGGGAAATCTCCGGGGACCTCTTTTAAATGCTAGCGGTGGGGAGCAAAGCCTTCCCCCCCCCTCCGGCCTTCAGAAGAGGTCCAGGAAGGCTGGCGGGGGCCGAAAGGCTTTGCTCCCCACCGCCAGCATTTTAAAAGCAGTCCGGGATAGCAGGGAAGCGCTTCCCGCTATCCCGGACGGCTTTTGAAGGCAGGAGAGGTCCGCGAAGCCTGGGCGCGCTGATCTCAGCGCGCGCAGGCTTCGGCATGCCGGCAACTCTCCGCAAGCAGCGGCAGCGCTGCCGCTGCTCGCGGAGAGGTCCGCGAAGCCTGGGCGCGCTGATCTCAGCGCGCGCAGGCTTCGGCATGCCGGCAACTCTCCGCAAGCAGCGGCAGCGCTGCCGCTGCTCGCGGAGAGGTCCGCGAAGCCTGGGCGCGCTGTTCTCAGCGCGCGCAGGCTTCGGCATGCCGGCAACTCTCCGCAAGCAGCGGCAGCGCGGCCGCTGCTCGCGGAGTGGTCCACGAAGCCTGGGCGCGCTGTTCTCAGCGCGCGCAGGCTTCGGCATGCCGGCAACTCTCCGCGAGCAGCGGCAGCGCTGCCGCTGCTCGCGGAGAGGTCCGCGGAGCCTGGGCGCGCTGATCTCAGCGCGCGCAGGCTCGGCATGCCGGCAACTCTCCGCAAGCAGCGGCAGCGCTGCCGCTGCTCGCGGAGAGGTCCGCGGAGCCTGGGCGCGCTGATCTCAGCGCGCGCAGGCTCGGCATGCCGGCAACTCTCCGCGAGCAGCGGCAGCGCTGCCGCTGCTCGCGGAGAGGTCCGCGAAGCCTGGGCGCGCTGATCTCAGCGCGCGCAGGCTTCGGCATGCCGGCAACTCTCCGCGAGCAGCGGCAGCGCTGCCGCTGCTCGCGGAGAGGTCCGCGAAGCCTGGGCGCGCTGATCTCAGCGCGCGCAGGCTTCGGCATGCCGGCAACTCTCCGCAAGCAGCGGCAGTGCTGCCGCTGCTTGCGGAGAGGTCCGCGAAGCCTTGGCTGGACAGCTTTTGAAGGCAGGTGGGGGGACAAGACTTTCGCCCCCGCCAGCCTTCAGAAGAGGTCCAGGACCTCTTCTGAAGGCTGGCGGGGGCAAAGTCTTTGTCCCCCCTGCCTGCCTTCCCAGGGGCTTTAAATTGCCCCGGACAGCGGAGAAGTCCTCCGCTGTCCCGGGGCAATTTTAAAATGCCGCCCGCCAGCATTTTAAGATCGCCCCGGACAGCGGAGAAGCCCTCCGCTGTCCCGGGGTTTTAAAATGCTGGGGTGGGTGGGAAGAAAAGCCCTTGTCCCCCCCAGCCTTCAGAAGAGGTCGGGGACAGACTGTCCCCGGACCTGGTCTGAAGTCGGTTTCCCTAGGAACGCATTAATTGATTTTCAATGCATTCCTATGGGAAACCGTGCATCGCAAGACGAAAAACTCGCAAGAAGAAAAAACTTGCGGAACGAATTAATTTCGTCTTGCGAGGCACCACTGTAATTATACTCCTTTTTTATATTCTTTTAAAATTTGAAAATGGTCAATATATCCTCACAAAATCTTCATTTTCCTGGCTAAGTATGTCCCTGTTTTTTTCAGACTTGCTGCACATAGTTTTGTCTTCTAGACCTTTTATGATCTTTGATATGCCTGTCTTCTAGAGCATTAGCCAATATTTGCTTTTTAGTCATTTGTCTTTGTATTTCTCCTAGACCTTTTATTGTTCTAATATGCTTCATTGCCCACATTCACTTGAATGGATGTTCTTCCATCTGTGAATGACTAAGAAACACATTTGATGAAGGAGAGGTTGCCTCTGCTGAGGTTCTTAACATAGCCAACAATTTACAGTGCAATCTCAAAAGTGGGACTTACTGACTAGTAAGTGCATTCCCGATTACATTGCTGGGCTGCTATCCTAGGCACACTTATCCTGGAGAGTTAAGTCCTATTGAACACAGTGATAATTTATTTCTGAATAAACATACATTAGATTGCACTGATAGCTTCTCAAAAAGAAAATATGGAACTGTTGTTCTGTGATGAGATTAAGATAGGGGTGGAGGAATGGGGTTTTTCTAAAGAAAATTTCCCAATTGTATAACTTCCTCATTAGATACCTTACAGTAATAAAAGGAAGACTGTTGAACAAACATAAAGCATGGTTCACTCTTTGCTTACACTCTTTATCCGTGGTGGTTTCTCATAAGCAGATATTCTATACAGCAATGCTTCATTTATGAATCTGTCTTAATTCAACTACTAGCAGGCACAATAAATGGGTACTTTAAGGGTGTTTAAGGATGTAACAAAGTGTTACCTGGCTGAAGATGAAGGTGAAGAAGAGGACATATTGGCCAAAGATGTTTTATATGGATTAGGCATTTTGTTTCATGTAAGGAAACTGATAGCATTCTACCCTTATATAATAATTGGTATACCTGCTGTCCCTGACACTGCCTGTCATTTATGTCCTTAATTTTAAGCCTCACAAGTCTAATCACCCTTGTGGAAAACCTGTGGCAAAGAGATGTCATTGAACTACAATGTCCATAATCCATGACTATTAGCCATGCTTTCTGGGACTGATGGGAACTGGAGTCAAACATCTGGAGATTCACAAGTTCCTCATCCCTGAACTAGGGAAATGTTAGCAGGTGTTTTCAACAACTGCACAAAATTGCAATTTATTGGGGTCCCTGGATCCTCCTCTGAGAACTCAATCAAATTAAAACCAATTCATATTTGTAACATAGATGCACTTTTTGTCTTTCGCCACCCTTAGAGGTTTTTTATTAGCTGTAATTTAATATGCTTCCGTTTAATAATAGGCTCATTCATGACATTTGCTGCTGTGTGCATGTTGGGTTTCCAGACAGACTGAAACATGAGACTGCTTTATGAAGTTGTGGGGTGGGGTGGGGGAATGAAATACACTTTTCCAGCCTCTGAGTAGTTGGAAATGCAGTGTTTAAAAAATTGTGGCAGGAAATATGAAGAAGAGAGAGCAGCTTCGGAGGTAAAACAAAAAGGAAAAGAAATTGTGAAGGACATTAACCTATCATTTAGAGAAGAGAAGAAGAAGAGTTTTGGATTTGATATCCCGCTTTATCACTACCCGAAGGAGTCTCAAAGTGGCTAACATTCTCCTTTCCCTTCCTCCCCCACAACAAACACTCTGTGAGGTGAGTGGGGTTGAGAGACTTCAAAGAAGTGTGACTAGCCCAAGGTCACCCAGCAGCTGCATGTGGAGGTGCGGAGACGCAAACTCGGTTCACCAGATTACGAGACTACCGCTCTTAACCACTACACCACACTGGCTCTCTCATTTAAAACATTTCTATCTTGTTTTTCCAAATAGGTGCAAGAATATGCAGCCCAGAAAACAAAAGAAACTACAGATTAATCAAAAACTGCAGAATGGTTAAGTTCAGTCAAGTGACCTTTGGAAGAGAAAGGTCTTTCAACCCTTTTGGAAACCTAATGTTAAGTTTTCTGACTTGTTAGCAAAGATGGTGAGATAGGAATGTAGGAAGCTGCCTTAATACCAGATCAGACCATTGGGCCATCTAGCTTAGCATTGTCCACACTGACTGTCAGTGGCTGTCTAGGATTTCAGACATGGATCTCTCCCAGCTCTACTTGATTCTGGGGATTGAACCTGGGCATCTGTATGCCAAGCAGATGCTCTGCCATAGAGCTGTGACCCTTCTCCAAGTATTGCCTGATGATAAGTCCACAGTTGTGTGGAAGAGTTATATAAGAAGGGATGTTTCTTAAGATATGAAGCCATGGAGTACTTTTACAGTTAATACCAGCATCTTGAATTGGGCCTGGAAGTAAATTGGAATGATAAACAATGTTTGGTTATGAATATTCCAACAGGACAGGATATGTTGCTGATTTATGTACTTCTTAGTGGTTTTCAAGGGCAGACTGCATTGTATTATTGAAACCTTGTAGTTACAGACACATGGATCATCCTAGCAAATCCATGATAGGACAAAGCTAGAATAGAATAGAATAGAATAGAAAATATATAAGGCAAAGAGAATCATAGAGTTGGATGAAGAAATGGCTGGTTCACACTGGAGAATCAACTTGATTGAAATTATTTATGCCTGAAGTTGTCCTTGCAAATGAAGACTCTGGGGGTCAATGGAACACCTTTCACCTGAATGAAATTGACTTTAAAGCAAAGGAAACCCACTGGTTTCCCCTTCAAAACGTAAAATGTTACAGTGTACAGTTCTCTAGTATTAGATTCTAGCAGCGCGACAGATTACAATAATAAAATGACAAAGAAAAATATGCTTTCCACTTTGCAGGCACAAAGAAGGCATCAATCAAATATAATTCTTAGAGAAGGAACAGAAGCTGGGCCTTTTTTAAACATAAAGATTGGCTGAAAATATTTAAAATGCTTCACACACACACACACACACACACACACACACACCAATGAAAATATGCACCAGGGAGGCATTCTAAATACATATTCAATAGAGAGGCACAAAATAGTATGATTCTTTATTAAAGTTGACTTTTTACTTTGCCACACAGATTAACTGAACCTTGAGAAATAATCTTCCATCAAATGAACTTGTAGCATTCTCTAAAAAGAGTACTATTTGAGTAAAAAAATAAAGATTTTGTAATTCTACAAAATAAGAACTATCTGATTTACAACTTTTGATTACTCAGCTGTGACTGAGGAATTAAGCTAGCTGCAATGTCGGAGAAAGCTCCCTTGTGTCAAGGACATTTCTGATTATTGATTGATTATTTAATTTCTATACCACTTAATATATTAAAAAATATCTCTCAGCAGTGGACAGAAACAAAAGACAGCTTAAACACAATATTACAAAAAAACAGAGTTACATATAAACACATTACATATTACACATTACACTGATACATATTACAATGTTACATATTACACTGAAACAAAGTTACTAACATATATAAATCAACATTAGTTCATTTTTCTTCTGACACACCCTCCTTCTCAGCCTCCAGGTTCTCATCCACGGACCAAGCAAACTCTCAGCTCACCTGAAAAGGTGTCACAATGAGAAGAGTTCCTGGAAACAGCAAACATCACCCTAGTCTCTCACTCTAGACTTGCTTTTCAATGACAAGTCCAGGGTGAATGCTACTTCCTCAGGCTGCCCACAGCTGTGCCCATTCAGCTGCACTCTCCACACCCAGTTCCAGGTACAGCAGGGTTGTTGAATTAATGGAGAGAGATCTCAAACCCAGTCTCATATACCATCTTTCCGAGCTTTGCTACTTGGCATTCTTTAACTGAAGATGCCAAGGATTGTGTCCATCCAAAGCACATATCCCAGTCTTCCAGGCTTATCCCCTTCAATTTGCATGGGAGGGACTACAGCTCAGTGGGTAGAACATGTTTTTCATGCAAGTGGCCCCAGATTCCACCCCACATCTCCATGTCAAAGAATCTGGTAACAGATGATGGGAAACACCCCTGATAGTCAGAGTAGGACATGCCAGGCTAAATGGACAAATAGTCTGAACTGGTGAAAAAGCACCTTTTTGTTCCCTAAATTATTTCGTTGTTCTAATTGCAGAAATGGTACTAAGGGTTGAGTACATGTGCAACACTGTTAACAACTTTTTACCTTCTGAAGGAACTCAGTATGGTCTTATCACAGTAAGAATTTTCAGCCAGTAGCCTCAGTGCACATTGCTAAGATAGCTAAACACT